GCTGTAAAACATCTAACTCCTGGAGGATGTTTTATTCTGAAGAAGAAGCGTCATCTCGCAGCTTTCTGCTAACTGTTTTCAAGATTCATTTTACATATATCATACTTAGGCTAGCTTAGAAATGTTTTCCCATCCTAAACGATTAACTATTATTATAATTTCCGCTACAAAATTTATAACCCTGATAGGAAATATTTGTCGTTGAATCTTGAATTGTCTTTTCAATAGTATTTGCTTACTTCATGATTGAAATGATTGATGGTGATTGAAACAATGAATGATCGTCTGAACAATCATTGACGTAAACATCAGAGAGTATATCGGTCAAATGAAAAATTCCCTTATCTTAACTTCAAGCACTCTTGTTCAGTTCCAGATTGAAATAATTTTTCAATCACTAAAATGTTTAATTTATATTTTTGAAAGTCAAACATTATTGAGCTGTAAAGAGTAAGTTGTACATCTCATCTGTCTTTATTGTCATAATGCAATCTATAGAAATAATCTACTTGCTGAAAGTAGTATCATAATAACACTCACTATATAAGAAAATATGATTATATTATGCCTTGAAAACAGGATTCACAACTACATCAAAAGTCATTACTGAACTCATTTCGCGTTAACATAGATTTATAACGGAAAAGGATCTTTGCGAAGTTTAATAATCCACAATAGGTTTGTTAACTCAGAGCAACAGAAAACCTTTAAATAAGATAGTAATCTATTTTAGTCAGTATCTCATGCATTTCATTTGAGTGTGTAGTTTGTTAGGTATTTCTTTTTCCAAGTAGAAAAATATGTATATTTAGCCATACCAAAAGTAAAAAATGAACTGTAGACAATAAAATTATATATTTTTGACAAACTCATTTTCAAACTTGAATATTTTTGCATCCATGGTTCAATTGGTCAAAAGTTCTAAAAGATTCTGATTGTGTTGTGTTCTCTAAAGTGGATGACTTAATCATGAAGATTTCATTGTCATTCTAGACAAAATCGTTGGCACAAACTTCAGAGAGGAGTTAGCTATAAGGTTTTCTCCATAATTTTTTTGTAGTTCGTCCCGATGATCTTGTATGCAATTGGCTGTTTCTGCCATAGTCTTGTCATTGTCTCCATATTTATTTTGACTGGTTGTCCTAATGACCTGAAATTTCAGCTTCTTATTGTCTCTTATTTGTTGATAGATTGGGTCAATGTTAACACATTTATTGATTGGTGATTGACCTGAATACCAAGCTTCTAAAACTTCTCTGGCATTTTTTGTAATCCTCTATTCAAGACTTTGACATTTTCTCAGTTAAATTCACCTCCACAGTTGTCGCATGCATTGGTATGACACTTCAGTGTGAGTTGATGTTCATGTAGATGGATATGAAGATGGTGACCACTCTGTCTTATGTAATGTTTTTCACATTGTCTCCAGTTTATTTTGTAGATAATGTTTAGTTTGTCTCCTTTCGCTATTTTATCTTTTGGCCTGCACAACATAGTGCGAAGATATTTTGTGAGTTAGAGTGATTCTAGAATGCTACAAAAATCTAATTGTGATCTTGGAGATGTTCTTCATTTAAGATAAGACAATCCGTTTGTTGGTTTTCAAGTTTGACTTCTTCGTTCTGATATAGGTGATTTCATAGGCGTTCCTTTCGTCTGTTTGTAAAGTTCGTCTTTCAGCTGAGAACACGTCGTAAGGCATAAATCAATTAATTCCATCAAAGTGGAACACTACAGGTGTTTGTCTTCCAAGAGGTGTGTATCGTTAGTAAGGAGAAGAGTCAATGTATCCTTAGCCAGTTTCGGTTCGATCGAAGTGCATAAAGATGTAACTTCAAAAGACACCATCAGTTCATCGTTATCAATATGACCTTTTATCCGTCAGTGTATGCTCTAATTCACCTTCTCAATAAGGTTTATCAACTAAACCAAAGATTTATGCTGAACAAATCCAGGACATGAGTTTCGAGCTGTTTGGGATTCGTCAGCTAAATGCACTTCCTTACTAGTGAGCGATGTTTTTCCCACAAAGACTAGAAACCGAGAATGATAGCTTCAAATGCCAGAAAGCTATCCGCTAGGCCATCAAGTTTTGTTAGCCATTTCTTATATAATGTGTACAGTTTATAAGATGTTGCTTGTATTACCCCGTTGTTGATTGGACCGAATTAATTGGTCTGTACTGACATACTGACTCCTGTGAGGATACCTTGATATTGCCTGTATTTTCAATTTAATATTTGATCATTTTTGGTATATGGCGATAACTGAAGGTAAAATAAATATCCAGATCTACACAAAATTTGAACCAGCAAACACTAGATTAACGGTCCAGTAGTCCACCGACTTGACCTTGAGACTCAATAAATAAAGAGGCTGAAATTTGACTCTCATATATATGTGATGGTTTCCAAAAAGACTGATTTACGGGAAAGGTTTATCATATTCCCTCTATCTTTTAAGCTATCTGTTGTTAAATTTTGATCGTTAAAAACTTCATAAAACCTGTTGTTTCGATTCTGTTGAAACGTTTTCCAAACCAACAGATCACCAGATTTCTACAAATTATCATGGAAAATGGATTGCATTGATAACGGTGAATAGCATAGAATAGTTCGACATTTTTAACAAAACTTATTGGTGAATGATCGTCTGTAGATTACTTCAGCTGACTTATTTCAATTCACTTTCTCTCCCAATAATTTCACTAACTGATTTACCTGTCACAGGAGTTTTTAATTACATCCATCGTGGTGTTAATGAATTTAACACCTAGATTGAAATTATACTTGTCAGTGAATAAAAGTGTAGGTGGTAATTCTTATGTCCTGAAATGATCTTCTGTGGTTTAGTGTTATTGCTTGTATTACACCGTCGTTCATTGGACCAAACTGATCAGTCTCTGTTGGCATATGGGCTCCTATGCGGATGCCTCGATATTGCCTGTCTTTTAAATATGTTTAGTAATGATGGGCAGTGGCTAGCAGTGGAATCCAGGATGCGCATTTCGTCCTATTTGGGACTCTTCAGCTGAATATACCTGCTTCCCAGTGAGTGGTGTTGTTCCTACCAGGACTCAAACTCGGGAGCGATCGCTTCAAACGCCAGTGCGTTATCCACTACACCACCGAGCCACGATAGCCACTTCTTGTGCGACGGGTATAGTTTTAGTGTTATTGCTTGTATTACACCGTCGTTGATTGGACCGAATTGACCAGTCTATGGTTGTTTAAAAAACATAACTAATCCTTCAGAATATCATTATTATTAGTCCCTTGGGTTCCTAATGGAACATAGGGCTTCAGTAGCATGTCTCCAGTGACCTCTGTTCTCTGAGATCTTTTGAACCTGGCTCCACGACAGCCCAAAAGCTCTCATTTCCTCCTCACATGATCTCTTCCATGTCACCCTCGGACGTCCAACTCGTTGCTTCCGCGAATTCTAAGCACTTCAATGTAATACCTTCTCATCTCTTTTGCAATCTGGGCTGCTTTGCTGGGTTCAAACATGGTGCGGACATTCCATGTCCCCACGTTTACTTTCGCTTTCATCGAGAGAAGCGAAGACACATCGGCCAATTGGCTTCCCGAAGGCTTTCACCAGCTGGCGTCATTTCTCCTCTCCGATTCAATCGAGGAATAATTTCGTTATAATTTTTTATATTTTGTTTGTACTTTGAAGTTTCTTTAGGGGTTAGATTTGTTTTACGGGGTAGGGTTGCTAGCCTTATGCCCAACCTTCCCTCTTTACCCGGGCTTAAGACCAGCTAGTAACTAGTGAACTAGTTAATCAGGCGAGGTTACCTTCAGAATATAGTCAGAAACAATCAAATATATTATGACTACTGATAAAATTCCTCTGTGTCTAAACTATTTGATGCAGAAATTTTAGCGCTTCTAAAACCTTTTTCGTTTACTTCTTACATAACTTACAATCAACGTTAGTATAATATACATAGCTTTGTAAAAATGATAATTAGTTCTGGATTCATCAGAGAAAATTTTTATTTAACATTTAAACACTTAAAAAGGCATAAAATTATAAGTTGAATTAAAGTTAAAAATTGACTACTAGGTGAAATGAATAAGAAAATCTTTTGATCACAATTCTATATGACGACGATATCATTTTCTAAAGTTGTACAATCGTATTTATATATATCAGCAACCTATAACAGTCTATTATTAGACAATAGTGTATAATTGCATCATTAATCTAGTGCTAAAAAGCTGAAGTCAAGAATGGAAAGTAGAAATAACAAGGAAGACAAAGAGTTTAGAATTCTGAGTTCTCTTCGAATTCTGATGTGAAGTTGATCGATGGGTGGGAATCATTGAACTTTTTAACTACCGTCCTAATATCTGTATTTTGATCACATATGATGAATGTGTCATCAGTATATCTCTTATATCAGTAGAAATTATCACTTGCTGAATGCAGCACACTATTCTCAAGATTCACCATAAAGCAACCAGCCAGTAATGGTCCAAATGGTGACCCCATAGCAAACCCATCATTTTATCTGTATAGATCATTGTTGAATGTGAACTGCACGTTGAAAGTACATCTTAGAAGTAATTCCTTTAAATATTATTATGAGATATTCACGTGGAAATTATTATCTTCGGTGAAATCATACAGAAAACAGGTAGTATCCGTTAGTGGGACATTTATGAAGATGGAGGCTACATCCAGAGAAATCATTTGCTTATCGGATATACTGATAGCATTAGTTGAGTCGACAAACTCAAAGGAATCCAATGAGCAATGCGTATTTAGCTGTTTTTTGACTGGCTGGAGGACGTCCGACAGCCACTTGACAACAGAATGGTATGGTGAATTGTTCATGTCCAAAATTAAAAGAAGGAGAAGATCTTCTTTGTAGACTTTCGAGAAAGAAACTTTTCTTCACTGAATTATCTCTTCTTTTCCCTATGACTCAAATCATACTTCACTTTACCTGCTTGACTGATTTTAGCTTAAACTATATACTAATTTAGGTTCTCTACTTGTAATCGCAGAACAAACGGATTTTGTCAACTATCGAGTAAGTGATAAGAAGTTTAATTTTGCGTTGTTTAAGTTATCAAGTTGTGATTTCTTTGGAAAAAGTTTATCAATAATGATAGCTTTCATTATTAGAATATATTTTTATATAATCCCAGAGTGTTTAAAAAGCAAAACAAGATATTTCTTAACGTTTTGTCGTGTAAGCTACAGCTTCTTATGTAGAATATACTGATTTTTATTAACATGGTCAAATGAAATATGATCAAACGAATAAAAACTGCAGGTACTAATAATAATAATAATAAAGGTACAACAAAATCATAGGCATCATTTATGACAGTACCATATCGGAAAGGTACTTGTAAGCAGATTAAAAGAGTATGTGCTTCGTATGATATTAAACCTTCGAATTCATTAGAAAAGATCTTTGTTGAAGTGAAAGATACAGTTCCTAAGTTGATACAAAACAAATGTGTCTACAAAATTAAACGATTAGAATATGAAGCTGATTATGTTGGAGAAAGTTGTAGACCCTTAAAAGTTAGAGTGAATCAACACAAATTATATATGAAATAATCAATGAGGAATCAAGTTTGATTAAAAAATTTAGAAAAGAGATCAACAGTAGCTATGAATGTAATCGAAGATAGACATTTAATTGACTTTGAGAATGTAAACATATTAGGAAAAGATTTGCATTTGCATAAAGAAAGATTAACTTCCGATGCCCTGTATCATATTTCAACATAATGAAAAGCAGGAACTGACTTGCCACCTATTTAGCAAATATTAATCCGACAAAAGCGTTAGTGATGACCTTACCTAGTTGAAGTCACAATTACAATGATAATTATTGACAGTTTATAATAAAGAGTATAATCAACAGCACGTTATACAACATACAAAAACACACACAAAAAAAAACCAATTTTCCTATATTTTGATAATTTGGTTGGTTGTGGCTAGCAGAAAAATCCAGGACGTGCTTTCCGTCCTATTTGGAACTCGTCAGCTGGATGTACCTGCACCCCAGTGATGTTGTTCCCACTGAGACTTGAGCCTCAAACCCATCGCTTCATACGCCAAGGCGTTATCCACTGTGCCACGGAGGAACGATAGTCGCCTCTTGTACAACGGGTAGTAGTTATTACTATCTATTAACAAACTTGTTATTCTCCGTTGTTTTGTTGGATCAAACTATTCGACCTCTATTGGCAAATGGACTTCTGTGCGGATGCCTCGATATTGCCTGAATGTTAATTATGATAAATTGGTTGGTTGTGGCTAGCAAAAGCATCCAGGACGAGCGTTTCCTCCTATTTGCGACTCACTCATCAGCTGGATGTACGTGCACCCCAGTGATGTTGTTTTCAGTGAGACTCGAACCTCGTTGACAAATGGCCATAAGAAGCATAAAAGTTTAATGACTAATCTTCATTACTCAGGCTTGACATAAGACTACATAACCAATGATTTACGTTCACTAAATATTTGATGTATTATTTGACTATGTATTTTAATGTGAATAAAAATTCGTATGTTTTGCTGAAGAAGCTGTGACCTACACAGTGAAACATTCAAACATATTTTGTTTTTATTTTCTAAACACACTTAGATTCTATTAAAATATATCCTTATAATGATTGAATCAGACTTGGTGCTCAACTTCTTCCAGAACATTTGTAACAACTATGATCTGGATGTTTTTAATAATTGTTTTCTTTTGACAGATATTTCGGAATAATGTACAGAATTTCCAGATGTCATATACTATCAGTGCGTATACATAATAAAATGAAATAAGCCGAAATTTTATATAAAAGATAAGAATATTGACTTCCTCTACAACTTTCTTCAGAATCTACAGTTAACTTATTTAGATATTCACATTAGCGATTAGATTGGTAATACATAAATAACAGCAAACTGTGTAATCTTAAATTAGTTTGCTTTCAAAAACAAAAGTTGGTTAGTTAGTTCATTTCTGACACTTTCTTCCTCTCACAGAATATGGTATTTGTTGAGTTATATATTTAATAGTACGTGCATAAAGTTTTATATACTTTCACCTTGTTTCACCTGAGGACCGACAGGCAGACAGTTTTGAGTGAAGAGGATATTAGTCATCTGATAAAATAGCTTCTACTAGATGTTTAAATGAGTTAGGATGTTTATCCACAATATTTTAAACTAGAAAGTTAACAGATACACCACCAGTTCTACTGACAATCTGTAATGTTCTACACAATACAGCGTAGTCTTCTCTCAGCAACCCAGGAAAGAATAAAAAGAAACAATAGAGAATAATAGGCAAGATGCAGGAGTTTATGAAGCACAAGAGAAGAGGCTGAGTTGTACCAAAAACTTTCAATTTCCTAATGTAGTAAGTTAGGCGAAAGATTTTTTTTGGAAACTAGAAAGAAATGAGGGAACCAGAAAACGTTCTACGAAAAACACACGCCGAGATGAATCATATCTGTAACATTCTTTAATACACAGTCATCAGCAGAACAAGAATAATGAGACTTAGACAGTTTAGACAGGTTGTGTTCACGTCTGGAACTAAAACTGATGATTTGACATTATAAAAAATTAAGTGCAAAAATCGTTCAGGGAGGACCATCATCCAGTAGTAAATAGTGAATCCTTTACTTCAGAACAATCTGACGTAAAGGAGAAAAGCATAGAAGCAATCAGGTTCTCAGCATACTTGACAAAAGTGATACTAAGTTATGTAGAAAGAAAGAAAGAGAAAGACTGAGGGAAAGAACGGCACCTTGGAGAACACCAGCTTAAACAAGTAACAAGGTGGAGCGCTACTCTCTGACAACGATATATTGCCTCTTTTCAAAGAAATAGGGAATCAATCAGCTAACCAGGCTAGCTTGTCCAGCAGAAGAGGTCTTGGGACAGAGTAAAACGGTCTAAAAAAGCATATCTGACACACTTGGCTTTTTTGCCAAGTTATCCAAAGTACTTCTTTTGCTTTCGCATGCAAATTGTTAAAGATCTCCAAAAATCTTCAATAAACGTTCCAGCACTGATATTATTCGCTTCTATATTATTTTTAACAACGAAGAAGTGGCTTCAATCGGATAGGATTCCAAACATGCACCTATAGTCACCGACTTAAGCACTGGAATGGTGTTAGTATCTTTTCAGGCAGTTGATAGAATGTTTCCTGAAAACTACCAATGTTTCTCCTTCTTTTTTATGAAATTCCATATTGAAAGATTAACCTAGAAGTAATACATTACATTAACCTGTAGAATTCCGGTTACCTTTGGAATAAATTTATTTGACAAGATAATTCATCAACAAAGGCAGCTGATAGTTTTCATGGTGGCACTTGATCAATGACTGATTTTTTTTTTAGTTTCTCATCTTTCAAAATAAAAAATGTATCACAATTTACCCTTTCATTTTATAAATTTTAGTGTTTATCACGGAAACATTGTAAAAATATTTGACAGTAGCAGTGAACTTTTCTTCATCTAACTTTATTAAATACATCTTCAATGTTTGGTTGTACAGTGATACTATAAACGGTTTTTTAGGTAAAATGAAAGTTGTAAAGTATATTCAATAAGAAAAAAAAATATTAGTCTATATCCTGTCATTAGAAAATAAATTTGATGAATCTACATGAGTGCATTTTGTCCAGATGGTGTAGGTTCTCCTGTCATTCTTATGAACGTTTATAATGAAAATATAATGAAGAATATTTTCCACTTCATTGTTTATCATCTTAAGCTATAAAATTTACAGTAAATATGATATTTCCCCCTTTTTTCTTCTCTCTTCAATATTCACTTTCTTCTCTTACATTTTAACAATCATTGCGTCATCATCATTTGTACTATAGGAAATATTTTAATTTTCGGAAAATTAAATAATATCTAAAAAAAACCTAGAAAACAATGACCGCATAGAATATGATACGAAACTGCGTATTTCAGTATGAGCTGATGGAGAAAGTTAAAAAAAACTATGGTAAAAAAATAATAAGTGACATTTGATACACCTTCGCCTTGTTAACTAGTTCACTAGTTACTAGCCGGTCCTAAGCCCAGATAAAGAAGGAAGGTTGGGCATAGGGCTAGCAACTCTAAACCGGAAAACCAATCCAATCGCTAAAGAAACTTCAAAGCACAAACGAAATATGAAACATGAAAACAAACTTATCCCTCGATGGAATCGGAGAGGCAAAATGACGCCGGTTGATGAAAGACTTCGGGAAGCCAGTCGGCCGATATTTCTTCTCTCGATGAAAGCGAGAGCAAGGATGGGGACATGGAATGCCGCACCATGTATGAACCTAGCATGGCTGTCTAGATTGCGAAAGAGATGGAGAGGTATGGCATGGAAGGGCTTGGAGTCTGCGAAAGCAGATAGAATGTACGTGGACTCTTTAAACTGTCAACTGGAGAGTCAATAGTCTACTCCGATATTGCCACCCAGACGACAACCACGAGGGCACTGAGTTTTGTTGTGACTATCACGATGTCCTCAAGAACACTGAAAGTTCTCGTGCAGTGGGAACCAATTTCCTCCAGGATCATGACAACAAGATGGATTCAACTCAAAAGGAAGGAAAGTCATAATCATTCACTGCTGTGCACCTAAAAATAATGCAGATCAAGAGAAGAAAGAGGAATTCTACAAACAACTGCAATCAGTACTGGAAAAGACCCCACCTGAGTTGACGACATCAAAATTTTAATGGGTGCCATGAATGCCAAACTAAGAGCTGACAACACAGCAGGAGAACTCATCATGGGTAGAGAAGCACTCGTTGACATGAATGAGAATGGAGAACTGTTTTGCAGATTTCTGTGCATTCAACGACTTGGTGATTGGAGGATGTGTGTACAAACACAAGCATATTCACAAAGCGACATGAACCTCACTAGACGGACACACTAAAATCCAGATCGATTTTATCTCAATCTCAAGAAAGTGGAGACGCAGCCTACTTGACACAAGGTCAAGAAGAGGAGCAGATGTAGGTTCAGACCAATCACTATCTAGTGCAAGGAGCCTGCCTTCCAAATCAAGTTGAAAGCCTTCAAGGAAGCTGGTAATAGACCGCAGTCCAAGTACAACACTCGGAAACTGAAGGACGAAACTACACAGAAAATCTTCACGTCAGCCATCAAGACAAAATGGGAGATATCGAGGAACATCCCTGAAGAAACGTGTGTGGAAGAGCACTGGAAGTCTTTGACAGCTATATGGAAAGAAACCTGCACAGCCGTGTTAGGAAGGAAGAAGAAAGAAGACAAGGAATGGATCTCGATGGAAACTTGGAAGCTGATAGAAGAGAGGAGGATGGTGAAGCAGAAGATAAACCAGTACAAGGATGCACAAAGACAAGAGGAACTGAGTACAATGTATAAAACACTGGAGAAAGAAGTGAAGAAGAGTGCGCGCAAAGACAAAAGACACTTCTACGACACACTGGCAAGCGAAGCAAAACAGGCTGCAGGTAGGACAGAACTGACAACATTGTATCAAATAACCAGGTTATTATCTGGTAGTGAAGAGATCAACACGGGTGAAACCAATGAAAGATACTGAAAGAAACCTGGTTACCAAAGAAGAGAAACAAAGGAAACGGTGGACTAATCACTTCAAAGAGCTCTTGAATCAACCACTACCTGCAACCCTTCCAGAAATACCACCAGCAACGTCATAGCTACCAGTGAAAACATACCCTCCGACAAAAGCAGAAGTAATGAACGCCACAAAAAGGCTGAAATCCAGGAAAGCAGCAGAACCAGATGGAATCGCGTCATAAGCACTGAGAACAAACGCATAGGCAACAGCTGACATGCTCACACCACACCACTACTGCAGAAGGTTTGAGAGGAAGGGAAGGTACGTAGCGACTGGAAGAAGGGCTACCTTGTCAAACTATTAAAGAAGGGACACCTAAGTGTTTGCAAAAACTGGTGCGAAATCATGTTCTTGTCCACCCCAAGCAAAATATTAGGCCGCATCATCCTGGAGAGACTAAAAGATGTGTTGGATTCAAAACCACGACCGGAACAGGCTGGCTGGCTGGATTCAGGAAGTACAAATCATGTGCAGCCCAAATTGCAACGCTTCGCATCATCAAAGAACAGAACATAAGGATGGCAGTCACCTCTGTACCTCAACTTCATAGAATTCTAAAAGGCATTCGGCAGCGTCGATCAAAAACTAATTTGGCAACTGCTTCAACAATACGGTTTCACTGACACAAACCTCTATCAACCTCATTCAACAACTATATGAAAACGCCACATCCTAAGTAATTCGCAATGGGAAGCTCAGTGGTGCCTCTGAAGTGAAGACAGGAGTAAGATAAGGTTGCTACCTACTATCAACGATTATCTTCCTGATTGTGGTCGACTGCATCATGCAGCAAACCATGAGGAGCGAGAAGATGGGCATACGCTGGATCGATGAAAAGACCCTAGAAAAAGATTTGGATTTCGTCGATCATGATTTATGTCTAATATCTTGTTGCACAAGCTTGAAGATCTACAAGCAAAAACCAACAAGCTGACAGGAGAGGCAGGGCAGCGAAGACGGGACTTCAAGTGAACGTAGAGAAGACAGAGGTGATGAAGGTACCCAACCAACAACAGCATCAACAACAAGACGCACTAATCACCATTAACGAGAGAAATCTAAAGGAAGTAGTCTCTTTCACCTACCCAGCCAGGCAAGGCAGCATCTCTTCAGCTACAGCCCGTACAGATGAGGATGTCAAAACCAGGGTCGGAAAAGCAAGACAGGCTTTCATTATTCTGAAATCACTGTGGAGATCTGCTGCACTCAGCACAAAGAACAAGATCCAGATTTTTAACACCAATGTCAAGTCAGTGCTTTTATGTGATGAATGAGAAACTTGCGGCCTTACGAAAAGTATTTCCAACAAACTACAGACATTCATCAACAGCTGCGGCCTACTCTCTATACTGAAGGTCAGATGGCCAAAATAATAAGAATAAGCAACAAGGAGCTCTAGTCTGGCAATAAACCAACCAACCAACAAATATGCTGAAGAAAGTGGAGATGGATTGGACTGGTCATACACTGAGAAGGCTGATTGGGGACATCACGCGATATGCCAGGTCAGGCCGTCGAGTGGAATCCAAAGGGGAAACGACGAGTTGGGTGTCCGAGGATGAGGGTTACATCGAGGAGATCACGTGAGGAAGAAATGAAAGCCTGTGGGCAGTGGTGGTGCGAGGTTAAAAAGACTGCAGAGTAGAGAGTGCTATGGAGGCGTGCTACTGAAGCCCTATGTTTCACTAGGAACCCAAGGGAAAAATAAAATAAATATTGGATACAGTATCCAACTCAAAGTTGAATGTTCTGTACATTTGGTCATCATATACTAGCTTAAGTGATAATCATAGCTGATTTTATTTAAAACTTAAGACTTCACGTTTATTCGAAATCTCTTTTCGCCTACAACATTTACCTTTTCACTATACTGTTCGCTAGTACACAATACAATCTTGGCGAAAGATTAATTTACTTACCTTAAAGAAGTTCATTTCTGCCAACCATAACAAGACCCGAATCGTATTCTCACCATAAGTTAAACCATATTCCAGTAGGCTCTACTTATCAGAATGAATATAAGTAGTATATGTTGAGAGAGTGGCAGAAATCATAGGAAATTACCAGCAATGGATAGGAGTTATGTCCAGGGAAAAGCAAGAGACAATGAGGGTGTATGAAGAGCAAATCAAGATAGAAGTAGAAAAGGAAATGAAGTACAATGTACAAATAACTGTCCTAGTGCAAGATGTACCATATTTGATGACTACTGTACCAGATCCTAATAATAAACATTCCTTCCTTCATCTCCGTCTTATCGTTTTCTATAGTATCACACATATCTGATAAATTGATGGAGTCTTTTAGCCCTACTTTAAAACTGATTATGCAATGATGATTAATAGGTGAAACGTGTCAATAGTTCTATCCTCAATGGTGTTAACTACTATCCCGCTTCGAAATCACATCCTATCTATAAATATTTTACCGATATACCGATATATCATTTGGGTAAATATATTTCCGACATTCACAGGTTTTGCTAAGTCTAAACTTCTGCACAATCCTTGGGATTCTTAATTCAGAGTTTGTTTGTGGAAAAGATAGATGATATCTCAGTAAATTAATTCACCCTATCTGTATCAAAAAATAACGTAGATTTCCAGATTTATATTTAAAATCTCTGTGATAGTAACAAAAAAATAAGCAGATTCTAATGAAGCACTAAAACATCGATAAGTAAGTAGAAATGGTGAGAAATCGGTCATACCACAACATGATTATTATCAACTTGGCAGTTGAAAATTCCAGATGACTCCTTAGACATTTTTATTTCATGAAAATAATTTTTCTGAAAGTTATATACATTTTCCTGTAAAATTATTCATACGTGTAAACCTCAACTTATTTACATCTTACTGTTACATCTGTGCTTACACAAAAAGACGGTAAGTCATTTCTGTTAATTAAGCTCACCAACCGAATTATAATCAACCTGATAGCAATTTATGGACTGTTTCACTTCCAACTGTAACACTAACACAAAATATCATTTCAATACATTGATTATTCCCATTTAGACATTTAGAAAAAAAGACTGATTGAACGAAGAAATAGACTCCTTTTCAATTACGTCTTCATCTTGGGCTCTGCACTAATATATAGTTTTATAATTTAATCAAATTATCAATCACATGGTGATATTTTAGAAATAAGCGATTACGTAATAATTAGGAACTGAATGAATATTGATAGAAACAAGAACTGGAAGAGATGTACAAGGTAATACTAGAAGTTACATCATGTTGACGGCCACGGTAATGAAAGTGGTCGAACAAACTTCTTTTGGATACAAAGGCTAGGTTTGTGAAGGTGGATTGCAATCACCTCTGCTGTGTGAAGTAACTGAGTGCGTAATCCATGAGGTAAATTAATTAGAATCTGATGGATGATTTTGAAGGTTTTTCTGGCAACCACTTGATGTCATGTTCCAACTAAGTGTGCAAGTATGGAGCTCTTTATAGTTCTAATTTATCCCTTGTTCAACCATGATGGGTGGTGCTCAGAAATTCGACGATGGAACTGCCTCATTGTACGCTGAATGTAACTCGCTCCACAGGAGCAGTTGAATTGATAAATGTACATGGAAGTAGCAGAATCAGGCAGTTTGTCTTTATTTCTTGCAACTAGAATCAGGCGGTTGCAGAAGGTGGGATATAATTTAGTGGCTAGGAATGCTTTATGCAAGACTCTTTTTATGCGTTGTGTGATGATCTCACTGGCAATATCACTCTTAAATTGCAGCTTCAAGAAGATCTGCTTCTTAGGAACTGTTGGCATTGTTTTCTTAACCCTCGTAATATTCATGTGCTTAGTTACAAACTTGTCTGGGTAGCCGTTCCTACTAAGCAGATCATGGATGGTAGTGCACTCTTCCTTTATAGCATCCTCTGAGCAAATACCTGAGGCGCGGTATGCTAAGCATTTCACTAGGTTCCTTTTGTATTGGAGGGGTACAGCACTAAAGAAGTGCTTATATTGACCTGTTGATGTTGGCTTCCTATGAATGAATAATTTTGTTATATTTTCAAAATTCAGTAATTCTGATTTTATGAAGATGTATGTTGATAAAATAAAGTCAAAACACTGTTTATATACTCTTTTGCAAACGAAACAAATTTGTTTTTCAGACTTTCAGTGAACGAGTTATACGTATAGCAATTCTGGATTGAAAAAGATTCATATTCTGTTGTACAAATAATTGATAGACAGACATTCTGTTGCCTACAAAATGTATCTGCTACCATTAGTTTTAATTAGGATTTCTAAGGAGAAAACGTTTGTATGTCATATGAATATTTGTTGAAATACAATCACTTTCAGCAAGCTATTTTGATATTCAAGTATTAACTACTTATGAGTAGTTCAAAGTTTTTTGAAAAATGTTAGCTGGTGATATGTATGGTACCTCCGCTTGTGCAAACAGTTTCATTCATTAATTCAGGATATGTCATTAATTTTCTCACTTGTTTCGGGATTGAAATTTATCACTAATAAAACCTCTCATTTACACTGAATAATATATACTGTCTTCATACTGTCTGAAGTGGATGGGTCTCCAGTGTTCAGGGTACTACAAAAGCCATAGTATTTCATGAACCTTCATATGAGAAAAGCAGTCATTTACGCTCACTGTACGCTGACTACATGCCCAACTATTTTAGTCACTGGGCCTTGAAAGAAGCAGAAATGGGGCTAAAGGCTTTCCGATACTCTATTCTTATCCTGTACATTCTGCGTGTTGTTCATGTACTAAACGTGACATCCTACATTCATTGATACTATAATCCAAAATTGTATGCCAAAAACGTGCTCATCAGATCAGCATTTTCAATCGTTCAACGCTTGTACACTACCTCATCCATGTTTACTTCTAGAAATCCTTGTCTAAGCTACCGTCAAATATGCTACATTGGGACCACAATACCTTAATGATGTTTTATCCATTTCACTTAATACTTTATTCTTAGTGAAAGCTTAGAGTTATTACGCCAAAAAAGAGTAAACTGATTGTTATTCCTGCCACCCACGTGTTCATAGTACAAAAGCCCCACAACGCTAATAACCAAATAACAAATTGAAAGATAACCTATTGCAGCTAATAGTGTGGTCAGTCACACTCTATTCCTGACACCACTGACACTTTCCACCTAGTATCAACTGTCTGGCTAAACAAGCTATAAAAACTAATGATATGAAAGGTGGTTTGGTGTTCTCTGAGCTTTGATATTTTGTCTTGAATGTTTTAGCATTAACTTCATACAGAAGTCTTCTATATGAAGTTAGTGCTGAAGATATGACTCAGCAAGCGTTTGTGTGTGCCTAACCGATCACCGGTAGAAACTTAAAGGAAGTAGTCTAATTCATGTATCTAGGCAGCACTATTTTAACTGCAGGCGGCACAGACGAAGACGTCAACACCAGGATCAGAAAGACAGCAAGACAAACGTTCATTAGCCTGAAACCAGTGTGCAGATCTTCTGCACTCAACTCAGCATAAAGCGTCAACAACATCCGGATTTTCAACACCAATCCAGTCAAGTCAGTGCTTCTTTATGGCTCAGAGACTTGACGCCTTACGAAAGGCATTTCCAACAAACTACAAACATTCACCAACAACTGCCTACGCTGGCTAGTTACTGAAGCTCAGATGGCCAGAATAATATGAATAAGCAACAAGGAACTCTGACTTCACAACAAACCAACCAAGAAGCTATTGCTCAACTAATATGCAGAAGGAAGTGGAGATGGATTGTACTGGGTATGCACTGAGAAGGCCGACTGGGGACATCACGCGTCAGGCCAGCCAGGCTGTGGAGTGGAACCCAGATGGGAAGCGACGAGTTGAGTGTCCGAGGTGAGGGTGACATGGAGGGGATCATGAGAGGAGGAAATGTGAGTTTGTGGGGTGTCGTGGAACCAGGTTCAAAAGTTTGCAGAGAAGATAGTGGAATGGAGACATGCTACTGAAGCCTTGCGTTCCATTAGGAACCCAAGGGACAAATAATAATAAAATGATTTGTGGGAGTATGAATTGTGAAGTGTAGCAATTATGCTACTAGAAATATTTCACAAAAACATAAAAAGCTTTGTTCTATTTATCTGAACAGATCTAAATCGACAATGGTTCTATGATTCATCGTCAAGATCATTTTAACAATATAAAAACTCACTTCACTATTTTCCGGATTGACTCTTTTAACTGTTTAGAAAATATCTGATCCTTTTAAGAAGTCTGTTCGAATAACTGAGCGTTCCCTGAACATATTTCAGGCTACAAGACTGTTTGCATTCAGACTACACACTCTCCTAAAGTCACTGTTGCACTACATTCGCATTTAACAGCTTAGCTTAATCACTAGTACTTTTTCTTTCAAAATATCCCACAGATCTCCAACAGTTGATCTTTTTGACTCCATTACTTTGTGTTATATTTCTCCTTCTTAATCCGTATTTCAGTGATCTGTACAGTTGTGACTTTGCATCAATTTCGTTTATTCAATCTGAAGGGAACAGAACTGGAAACTTTCTGAGACATATTACATCAGTAAACTGTTGCTTTTCATTCCCATTGCAATCAAGAGGCTGTTTTTATACTCATATACAGAAAAGGCACAAAAAATACGCCCTTAACTACTATAGCATTTCATCATTGACTATTTAAATCCAAGTATTATCATCAGACTCAAAACTTTTTTATATTTAATAATCTGTTAGTGGCCTTGAAAAATTGAAATCTGCCAGGAAAGCAATCTTCTTTCGGTTTCTAATAGTGATCTAGAACAACTTATGTCAACAATTTTAAACTATCACCATCGATGCATTGATATGAAACTGAACAGTGGGAAATTATCATCAAAGAAACACAAATCCCAACTAAAAGATCTCTGCACAAAGAAGGATTTGTTTTTGGTTCATCCCAGAAATGGTAGTGGTAAAGTTATTTTAGGTCAGTCTGGTTGTATTGTCAAATTGTGTTCCATACTATCAGAAAATAAAATTTCAAAATAAACTATTCAGAAAAATACAGTTGAACAAACTGAGTAGAACTTGATCAACATCCTCAAAAAGATGAAAAATGAATCGATCATTAACAGTGATGTACTTGAACCCCTGGAACCAACTGGCTCAGTGGTCCAACTAGTCTATAGTATCATGATGGTAAATAAGATGAAACATCCTACCTGTTCAATATTGGATATAAATAATTCCCTACACTACTACTATTATTGTTATTATTATTATTATTGTTATTATTATTATTATTATTATTATTATTATTATTATTATTATTATTATTATTATTAGTCCCTTGGGTTCCTAATGGAACACAAGGCTTCAGTAGCATGTCTCCATTCCACTATCTTCTCTGCAAACTTTTGAACCTGGTTCCACGACACCCCACAAACTCACATTTCCTCCTCTCACGATCTCCTCCATGTCACCCTCACCTCGGACACTCAACTCGTCGCTTCCCATCTGAGTTCCACTCCACGGCCTGGCTGGCCTGACGCGTGATGTCCCCATTCGGCCTTCTCAGTGCATGCCCCATCAAATCCATCTCCACTTCCTTCTGCATATTAGTTGAGCAATAGCTTCTTGGTTGGTTTGTTGTGAAGTCAGAGTTCCTTGTTGCTTATTCATATTATTCTAGCCATCTGAGCTTCAGTGACTAGCCAACGTAGACAGTTGTTGGTGAATGTTTGTAGTTTGTTGGAAATGCCTTTCGTAAGGCGTCAAGTCTCTGAGCCATAAATAAGCACTGACTTGACTGGATTGGTGTTGAAAATCCGGATGTTGTTGACGCTTTATGCTGAGTTGAGTGCAGAAGATCTGCACACTGGTTTCAGGCTAATGAACGTTTGTCTTGCTGTCTTTCTGATCCTGGTGTTGACGTCTTCGTCTGTGCCGCCTGTAGTTGAAACAGTGCTTCCTAGATAGGTGAAGGAGGTTACTTCCTTTAAGTTTCTCCTGTTGATGGTGACTGGAGTTTCTTGTTGGTAGTGGTGCGGTATCCTCATCACCTCTGTCTTCTCTATATTCGCTTGAAGTCTCGTCTTCGCTCTCCCTTCGGTCAACTTGTTAGTTTTCGCCTGTAGATCTTCAAGTTTATGTGACATCAGGCACAGGTCATCGGCGAAATCCAAGTCTTTTAGGTTCTTTTCCGCAGTCCAGTGTATCCCCCTCTTCTCGCTCCCCACAATTCCCTACACTATGTAACTATTAAATAGCTGACTGAAATTCTTAATCCAGGAAGAAATTGAACTGGCACACGTGCTTGATTCATTCGGTTTGACTGACTCATCAGTCAATGAAACTAATAATCTAGAAGTCGGTATCCCAATTCACTGTATAAATGAATTACTTGCACGATACATTTTGAATATGCAGTTCAAATTCGATGGTGGTTTTTATCGACAAAATGATGATGTAGTAATGAAATCGCCAATTAGGTCCTCTCCTAACAGATTTCTGCATGGTTAATTTGGAAAATCCTATACTATATACAATTACGGATTAGTTTCATGTGCATAGAAGATACATGGATTGTATTTCTATTGTCTGAAATGAGAAAATTCATCTTAGTGCTTCCCTAATAAAATTCTGCGTGTATCATTCATTCTTCAACTCACAATTAAAGTTGAGAACGACTCAGAATTTCATTTTTTCTACATTTCATTTAAGTGAAGATCTGATAGTTCTAGCTCCACAAAGGGGTCAGTCTACAAGAAACCAACTTGGAATACACAATACAGCCATTTTCAAATCTGGGCAACGCTCAGCTCAATTCATTCACTTTGCTCACAAAATAAGAAACATTTGCTTAGGTAACACAATAGACAAAGAAATCGAACACCTGCAAAACGTTCTCCAGAACGCCTACCCACCGAAATTTATTACAAAAAGCATGAAGCCAAAACGGTAAGGACACTAAGTTCTTACTGTTCCTAAGAATAATATTGAATTCAAAGGTGGTAACTCAGCAGAACTACTGAAGAATCGCTTTTCTAAAGCAATCAGAAAACATTTTATGTAGCTGAACTATGAATGAGATTCTCTAACTGATGGTTGATTGAAGGTGTAAAAAACAAACTACCATTGTGAGACATTTATGTATGTCTACCAGTTTACCAACTGTTGTTTAGTTGGCTATGTAGGCTGCATGAAGCGAATTCTTTCCGAATGTATATCCGAGCACTATGCTGCTTGGCCGGTTCTATCTTGAACCATTCTATTCACCCTGTTAATGTCGATTTCCCATGGTTTTCTTTCAAAATCCCCCATAAAGTCAAACTGATCACCTCGAAAGGAGTGTGGATTTTTTTGCATATATATGACACAGATGTTGACAATCTAACATTTATACCTCATGCTCTACGTACAGAGGGTGTACTTTTAATCTCTTATTTTTGCCTTGGTCACAATCTTCTATTTTTTTCATTACCCCACTATTCATCTTAATTCAATTGACTGATTATCGTTCTTGTTTTCACTCTATGCTTTACTTTCCG